AACATAAGGTGCCTTCTGGACCCATACTGATATACAAAATAAGGTGACCTTCGGTTTCCTTATTGTTGTTCAATGTAAGGTGTCCTCTGGTCTTCTTATTGACGTACAGTATAAGATAATCTCTGGATACCCCTGATGTACAATATAAGGTGATCTCTGGTCTCCTTATTGATGTACTATATAAGGTGACCTCTGGTCCCCCTACTGATGTACAATATAAGGTGACCTCTGGTCCCCTACTGAAGTACTGTACAATGTAAGGTGAGCTCTGGTCACCTACTGTTGACTGTACATTATAAGGTGACCTCTTGTCCCCCTTCTTATGTACAATATTAGGTGCCTTCTGGCGCCCATACTGATGTACAATATAAGGTGACCTTTGGTTTCCTTATTGTTGTTCAATGTAAGGTGTCGTCTGGTCTTCTTCTTCATGTTCAATATAAGGTGGTAGTCTTCTTTTATGATGTACAATATAAGGTCTCTCTGGTCTCCTTATTGATGTATAATATAAGGTGTCCTCTGGTCCCCCTACTGATGAATAATATAAGGATCTCTGGTCCCCCTACAGATGAACAATATAATGATCCCTGGTCCCCCTACTGAAGTATTGTACAATGTTAGGTGACAATTGGTCCCCCTTGTTGATCTTCTTGTTGATGTACAATATAAGGTGTTTTTTGGTAACCCTACCGATATTCAATATAAGGTTACCTCTGGGCCCCCTTACTGATGAACAACATGAGGTGACCTCTGGTACCCCTATTGATATACAATATAAGGTTACCTCTGGGCACCCTTACTGATAAACAACAAGGGGTAACCTCTGGGCCCCCTACTGATGTACAATACATGTATAAGATGATCTTTGGTCTCCTTACTGATGAACAGTATAAGATGTCCTCTGTTCCCCCAACGGATGTACACTATAAGGTCATCTCTGGTCCCCCTACTGATGTACAATATGAGGTGACTTCTGGTCCCCCTACTGATGTACAATATATGGTGACTTCTGGTCCTCTTCTGAAGTACTGTACAATATAAGGTGACCCCTGGCCTGGGGGCCATAAAACTTAGTGAGCTCACTTTTGATATCAGTCTCACTTTTCCTAAAGAAACTAATAGTGGAAAAGTGAGACTGAGATCAAAAGTGAGCTGTCTAAGTTTTATGGCCCCGGAAGCTGGTCCCCCTAATGATGTACAGTATAAAGTGTTCTCTGGTCCCCCTACTGATGAATAATATAAGTTGATATACAGTACAATATAAGGTGACCACTGGTCCCCGTACTGATGTACAACATAAGGTGACCTCTGGTCCTCCAAATGATGTACAATATAAGGTATCCTCAGGTCCCCCTAATGATGTGCAATAAAAGGTTACCTTTGGCTCCCTATTAATTTAAAATGTAAGGTAACCCATGATCCCTCTAATGATGTACAATATAATAGTAGGGTTAGGTGAACACTGTTCTCCCTACTGATGTACAGTATAATTTAAGGTTACCTCTTTTCCCCCTTATTACTTTCATGTTTCTGATAATATATATTTATATTAGAAATAATATTGTATAAAGTTATAAATATGATTATTCTGGAGTAAAGACAAAGAAAACTGTCTATCATATAAAATTCAATTAAAATATAAGGTGACCTGAGGTCTCCGTATTGATATCGATAAATTTACTTTTGTGTCTTTAATGCCTGAAGAGTTCTTAAAATGTTTTATTACTACGCAAAATGACAAACTATTTGCTGGGGACCCGAGGTCCTAAGTTGAGCGTACGTTTTATCCTTCTGGATGTCATCCACAGTCCACCATTTTGATCACTAACCATGAGTAAACTTCTTCCTGCATCCAGACCTCATCTACAAACAATAGCCAACATCCAGTATAAATAACTGATGAAACTAATCAAACGGGTTCGACGAGTATGCGTTGATAAAATAGAATAAGTACAACTCAGTGACCAAAAAAGCGTAAATGAAATAAACGATAACTCCTAATGCCCAAATAAAGACAACTCTTACCAAATAAATACCTATACAATCTGTTATCACGAGAGTTTTCCACCAAGTTCAATGTCATTCACAGTTCACCATTTTGATCACTTACCATGGGTAAACTTCGTGGGTCCCTTTTGTGTTTTATAATATAGGGTGATCTCTTCCACCTAATTATATACAATAGGTGACTTCTAGTCCCCCTTCTGATGTATAATAAAAATGGCCTCTGGTCTTCATTGATTGATGAACAATAAAGGGTGACCTCAAGTCCCAAAATAATGTACAAAATAATGTATTCTCAGATCTCTATAATAAGGTACAACATCTAAGGTGACCTCTGATCCCTCTACTGATGAACAAATAAATTGATCACTGGTCTCCCTGCTAATGAACTAGATAAGGTGACCTCTGTCTGTTACTATGTACAATATAAGTGGACCTTTGGTACCCCTAATAATGTACATATAAGGTGACCTCTGGTACTTTACTGATGTACAATATAGGATTACCCTGGTCTCCGAATTGATGTATACATAAGGTGACCTCTTCATCTTGTCCGCCTCTTCAAAAAAATAAGGTGACCTAGTCCTCTGGTCCCCCTATTTATGACCATAAAGGGCGACCACAAGTTCCCCTATTGATGTACACATAAGATGATTTCTGGTCCCCCTCATGATGTACAGTATATTAAGATGGCCTTTGGTTCCCCTTTATAATGTACAGAAAAAGGTGACATTTGGTCCCCTTTATGGTGTACATGTATAATATAAAGTGACCTCTGGTCCCCTAATGACTTCTGGTCTCTCTCTATTGATGTACATGAAGTACATCAAGTTCCCCTATTGATGTACACATAAGATGACCTCTGGTCACCTTTATAATGTACAATATAAGGTGACGTCTGGTCCCCCTAATGATGTTATCCATAAAGTGACCTCTGGTCTCTCTCTATTGATGTACATGTAAGGTGACTTCTGGTCCCCCTTATGATGTACAGAATAAGGTGACCTCTAGTCCCCATAATGATGTACATGAACAACATAAAATGACTCTTTTCTCTCTATTGATGTACATGAAAGGTGACCTCTGGTCCCCCTTATGATGTACAGAATAAGGTGACTTCTGGTCCCTCTAATTATGTTCAATATGTGGTTATTGCTGGTCCCCTATTGATGTACTATATAAGGTGACCTCTGGTCCCCTTAATGATGTACATATAAGATGACCTTTGCCCCCTAATGATGTACAACATAAAGTTACCTCTGGACTCCCTATTGATGTACAAAAAAGGTGACCTCTGACTCCTAATGATGTGAACAGAAGTTGACATCTGGTCTCTCTTTTGGTGTGCATATAAGGTGACCTCTTGTCCCTATTGATTTTTTTAATCCGTATTTGGTCTGTTACATATTAGCTGAGAGCAGCTTTTTGCAATTTAAATCACTCATTTTTCTGGGGGTTAAATTTCTTGCTGTTTTTGAGGCATAGACAGACTCAGGAATTTATGGCCACCATGAAATGTATTATTATATGCATTACTACAAACATTTTGGCCCACGAAAGCACATCCCAACAAACCAATTTTTTTTCCTCAAACCTCAAAATTTTAACCCCCCCCCAAAAAAAAATATGTGATTTTACAATAGTTGATTTGTATTTTCAATTGTTAAGAAGGTCTTCATTCTTAAAATATACTTACTATTTAAGTTAATTATACTGAAGAAATATGAACAGTAATAAACTAAGTTGAAATTCACTGTTCATTCACATAATACTTAAAGTGAATAAATGTGTTCTAATTAAGTAAACCAAAAGTTTGCTGGACAGCATAGATAACAATATAATGAAATGTATACTTTTTAAAAATGGTTTGTGTTGATCTTTGTAGACAAATTGAACCTTTTATTAACTTTTTTAAGTTTACATAATTTTATAATACAGTGTAATTTAATTGACAGAAAATGTACACTTACATGTCATCAATACCAAGTACGGTTAAAAATAGAAGACATTTTATTAGTTGTTTTGAAAAATTTGGGGTGTAACTCTCTGTCTAAATATATATAAATATAAGATTACCCGCAGCCAACTTTAAAAGGATCTGAACACAATCACTGGCCTAATCGCGGGAATCAGATTTAAACTTGCAAATGGCTCAAGTAAGTTTTCATATCTAAAATTTATTTATTTTATGACAATGTTGAACTACTTACTTTACAATTGTTCTCATCAAAATAAAATTATAGAAATTAATTCAGTTTTATTGCATTCACTCTCGATCGTTTATTAGTAATAATTTTGCCTATTAATAACGATTTTTTGAGATTTTCAAACCCATTTAATTTTCTAAATGTTAATGTTACATGTAATATGTATCAGAGAAGTATTACTATTCAAATTCAAATTGGTTATAATGACATTGAATGTTATCATTCAAACCACCACCCCCTTCCAAATGACAACAATTTGGTAAAAGTAAAAGGAATATTCATTTTTAGATGAAAATATGTACCACTGACGTGATGCCTGGAGATTCTGGAGAATTAACAAGACCTATTCAGTTATAGTAAGCGTCCTTAATTGTTTTATTATATAGTCAGGGTTTAAATGAAAAAGACATGAAAGGCTGACAGAAGATTACATTTTCATTAACTCCTATATATCGTTTAAAATAATGTCCAGATTACAACCTATCAAGCCCATGTTTTCCCTTCGATGTCTATGAAAATAATCCTTAAATAAACTTGCAAAACATTTTTTCCTGCTCGCATATTCAGCAGCTAACTACGGCCGTTGAAACTATTGTTTTTAACGTTGTTTAAGGTAATTGATTGTTCCTTCACAGTGCCACATCACGGGTACAGACCCCAAGTATATATTGCTTCTTATCCGGGAAAAAAATATATATATAGACAGTATAAGACATTAATAGAACATTTGTACTTTTTTTTTATTATTTCATTTTTTATTGATCAGATTAAAACTGGTGGATGGACTCTTCCAAAAAAAGCCGATGCCAGTATACAGGAAATGATAGCAAGGGTGACTTTTTACTTCCTTTTTTCCTTTGCTTCTTTTGTCTATATAATGTCTTATGAAATATATTGAGATAATGAACAGTATTCAAGATCAAATGTCCAAAAACAAAACAAAATAGGATCAGAACAAGCATGGACCTCCGAAATATCAGGGGTGGTATCAGGTGTCATGGAAGAGTGACCGGTCAAACCCGCCGTGTGCTCCCTTTCATAATCGGGTAATACCGGAAAAATTCGTCGTCAATTCAGTGTATGAATAATGGGCTAACTATCAGTTTGAAAAGCGTCAGTCAGCATTCGACTCATTGATAAATCTTATTTGCTGACAAGGTCATTATATTAACCATAGATCTTACATAAATGAGACTGTTGAAATTCCTCCTTCATCATAGGGATAGGGAATTGAAAAAGGTAAGTGTGGTTAACTGTAATAAATTACATTTTTAAGAAGTTATTAGGAATTGAGAGAACTTTAGTTACACGTTTTGCGACGAACTTGTAGGGTGACGTCATTGTGTTGTTGGAAATCATGACGTCAAATCCGACGTGTAGCTTCAGGTTTAGAACGTGTATTACACTGTCTACACGTACGACATAAATGAGAAATGTTATCGATTAAAATCTTTATTTCCTGATTCAGTTGATTGATTTTATGCTATCTTAAAACAAGAATTAAGCTATCGAAAAAAAGTTTACGGAATGATGACTCGATGAGTCCATCAAAGTACATATATTTGTATTTTTATTATTGAAATGTTAAACTGATACCAAGTATCATGCTAATTTTGTTCGCAGGATTCATTTGACTAAGACCCCGCCAATGCACCAAATAAAAATTCTTGGCAGTGATTCTTTTCCTTCAATATCTTTTTTTATGAAAACCTTTTTGAACACCTCTATATTCTTTTTTCTTCAAATAAAGAATTTTCAATAAAATAACACCCACGGGCACTAGTGACTTGACAAAAATATAACACCTCGCCTAACAAGTTATAGGTAGTATGTGTAATGTCAAGTGCTTGTGGAGTTTGTATTTCATTCACTTTTTTTTTTCCTTTAATACTAGCACTTGTAAAGATCTAGAGCAAACGCATATTTAGAAAAGGAAAAAAAGGGGACCTGTGTCGATCTGACTTGTATTTTGCTTTTAACAATGTATTGATGTATTAGCATTATTCCATGCCTCCTTTCTAAACGTTATAATGATCGAGCCCCTATATCTTATCGTTTTTAATAGGTTTTCTATTGGAATTTCCCCTCCTTCACAAAGTGCAAAATTTGGTCTTATTTGTCGTCTATTCAGTATCTTTGTGACTGCTTCAGTTTTTAAAGTGATGCAGAATTAAAAACCTGTCCTGTAGAGATAATAGGAAACAAAATATTTAAAGCGCTCCAATGCAGTGAGATGACAATACATATAATTTTTCATTGTTTATGATTTCTGTGACTATAATAAGTAAAAATTCCAACTCAGCTTATAAATGTAATGCCGATCAATAATATTTCTGTACTCTCCAATCATAAAATTTGCATTCGTACACGTGTATATATACATGTAACTAAATCAGATTATTGACGTTGATGTCAAATATACCTTGTACGTCAAAATTTCGCGTACACGTTGTTACGTCACTTGTAACTAAACCTCTCTTTTTTTATTTTCTATAACATGTACTTGTAATTGTAATTTTAATAATTACACTGAAAAAATACCATATAATTTCAATTACTTTTTGAATTACATTCAATTAATTTATATACCGTAATACACATGTGTCACCACTTATACCTTCCCATTTTACTGCCTATTATTTTTTTTGCAAAACATATTGTCAATCCTTCAATTATAGAGAAGACAAATTACCCGGTATGTTTTAACAATAATCTTGCCACCAATTATAGTTTCTTACTAATCATGATATAAAATTTGAATTTTTGTTTTATGTTTATCTGAATTTTGCACCACCCTTCTTTGGTCTATTCAGCTATGAAACACACATTTACTATATTTCAATCTTTGTTGTTTGATCGATCATCATCAAAGAAGAATAAGAATGTGTGTGTCAAGAAAAGAAAGAAAAGAAATGTGTATGTCATTAATTATGTTCTCTTTTGTTGGTAAGAGATAATTGCCCTCCAATTCACAGCAATCACAACAAATCATCTCCTCTAAAGAGGCATTCATTCCATGTTTTAGAAGACAAGGTTAATGCATGAAGATAATTATTTCAATTAAAAATGGTCCGATAGTTTGAGAAAAGAGAATCTTTCAATTTGATAATTATTTCTAAATAGAGTTTTATGAATGAATTTTGTATGAAAAAGTTCTGTGCAAATATCATTTATGAAGTAAAAATGTTCACGTAACTTCAAGGAAATAATTATTTTGAAGGGTTACAGTTGTTATTTATTTTACTTTATTAAAACGCCCTCTTTTAATCAAATATCACATGCAATTTGTGTTCCTATAGGATTTTGTTGTGGAGGAAACTACTTCAAACTAATCCTGAAAAGTTCTTTAATGTTCTGTAATTAATTTGTAATATGCCTATACACAATCATCTTGTATTATTTGTGAGACTGCGCTTATATACAAATGAACAATCCCTGATCTGTTTATTCATTGACAAGAATTATTAAAATTTTCAAAAAATATAAAAATGTAATTTGTAATTTAATTAATTACATGTCTTTGAAATCCTGTAATTTAACTGTAATTTAATTGAAGAAAAAGTCAAAGTACTTGTAATTTAGTTTATTTCTTTTTTAAAGTAAATGGCCCCATCCCTCCTTCTTCAACTTTTTTATCAATAATTTTGCTCGTTTTAGAAATACGTAAAGCATGTTTTTGCTTAGTGAATCAATTGAGATATATATATATATTTCGTATGCAGGTGATGAAGATGTATTGCTGCACAAGTATGGGAAGTTGACGATAGAAAAGTTAACGTCGTCAAGTTTAATTTATCATAGAGCTTGGTTGTAAGATTACCATTAACATCTTTTTCAAGTACAATTTCTTCTTTTTTCTATTGAAGTTCAAAGAAAGAGCTGAACAGGAAAAGAACACGACTTTTGAAACGTTCAACGCTGTCAGCTATGAAACACAAGTTGTCAATGGGACAAATTATTCAGTGAAAGTGAGTTAATATATACACGAGGGTTGTCCCAAAAAGTCGTAGACAATGTTTATAACTTTTTAACATGCAACTAATACTAACCAAAAATTGCATAGACATTATATGGTCAATGTTCTTTAAAATTGCAATTCTTAAATAAATATCTTTCATATTAATAATATTAGGACGATTTATAAGGAGGTCGATAGAGTCTGTCGGCGCTCGACCAAAGTTCGGAATAATTACGCATATAACTATTATATCTGCTTTCATTTCTCTAGTACTAAGTTAAACATTGAACTCAAATTTAAATCAGTAAAACCAGAATAAGAAACTTAATATGTGAAAATTTCCTATGAATAGCATTAGAAACTGACGATTGGTGCCATAGTTTTCAAAGTGTTGTTGTAATTCAGTTTAATGAAATTGACGTCAAAAGTGTAACTGGCGCATGTAGATGTAATAAATTGTTTTGAATATGGTTTATATACATCAGAGACGGAAAAAAGAGTATAGAAGTGACATTACACAATTAGATTTTAATGGAGACATTATTTTTAAATAGCATGAGGTTCAATAAGAGTTTCCTCTAAACCGGAAATAAGCAAAAGGTAGAGTGCTGTTTGTTAAACACAGATAATAGGGAACAATCTAGGCCACGAACGACATAAATTAATGTGCATTCTCTGTTGCATATGTTATATAATATGTAATATGACATTTCCACTAAATTTTGACTGAAATTTTTAATCTGTTTTTAAAAAAACGGATAGTAGTGAATTTAAATAAGACCCTTATTAGTCAAGAGTGGTTAAAAAAATTAATAGACGCGTGTGATGCAGAAAAAAAATCATGACGTTATAAGTAACGTAAATTGCGCTTGATTTCGTGTGCAGATGTACACTTATATGCTTCCTTCATTTTTCAATAATTTTCTTTTAACATTTCATTAAGAAATTTAATTTAGCAAAGAGAAACCAAACTGTTTCCCCTGTGTACGATTTTTGGAACAACCCTCGTATTTATAAAGATATATACATATAATTATCATTTCGCCAACATAATTAATGTATGCACAAATTAAAATAATCTTAAATTAAATATCGAGCATAAAAATAAAAGATTCATTTTCATCACAAATTCAGTAATTATATTCAATTCATAGATTGATATTGGTAATGGCCAATTCATCTGGATGAAGCTGTATAAGCCTTTACAAGGAGATGCAGAGTTCGTGGCTATTGAAGAAGAATTTCCCAGGAATGAATAATAACATGCAGGACTATTATTCATATGATTGAACTGAATAATAATGACGAAATAAAAATACTATAAATAAAACATTGATATTCCCAGCACCGTTATGCCGTATTATTTTACCTTTACTGTATTTACTCTAATATATAGATTTAATACCATAATATTTCCTATTTTTCTATTCTGAGGACTGCTCCCTGAAAATCATGGCTATTCCCTGGGACTATTCCCTCATGAATATTTTTTTTTTTACATTTTTAACAAATAAAAATCAACATTGGGCGGAGCGTTCAAGAAATCTCGAGTTTCTGAAGTAATGTCATATCCAATGTACATATTGTAACTATGATGTTAAAATATGTTGCCATGCAATGTCAAAATCATTACTTGATTTCTAGCAAAATGAAGACAATGATAATTCTTCGAAATGCAAGTAAAACTATTTTTAGTTTAGAAATATTTTTGTCCTCGGTAACGATGCATAAGTTACATGTATCTTACCATCTTTTAAACCATACGCATTTGTGAGTATTTAAATGCCTTTATGATAACAATTATTTTAATAAATAAAGTTTTTTTGTTTCAATTAATTTGTGCAATGTTGAATGAGTTTATTGCATCCAAACCCCCGGAGAGGGTGAAAAACTACAAACAAACAATACAAAAATGTAAGCAATATGTTGATATAAAACATACATAATAAAAATATGACTAGAGCGGGTTTCCATAGTTTTGAATTTTTAACAGATTTCAAGGAGGAGCTGTTCTAACGAAATTATTTCCATAAGATAACAGACAGACATCAACATAGTTTATCCCTAGCATGTTTACAGATGTATTAAAAATGCAATAATCAATCAATTGTTGCAATCAAATTTAACGATCAAACAAAGACAGGCAAAAAACGCGCCAAGTGCGCCTTGACTCACTCAATACGACAGTTTAAAAATTACATGACTAGAAAACGAATATTATGCATTGCCTTCATAGTAAATGAAAAATCACGAAAATTATACTTCATAGGTGGCTTTAAAGACAGTACAATAAGCTGGGTTCTGGAACCCACGAGGTTGGCTCTGTGCCTTACATTGCTTCCGGAATACAGTCAAAGTAAAGTAAAAACCAACAAATCCGGAAAGAATAATTCCGGGGCACTACACTCCCCTCCTGATTTTACAAAAAATCACCCTAATGAAATATTCCAAAACAAACTGACAATTAATAAGACCTTACATAAAGGGTGATAAGAAAACAATTATTCTTATTCATCAAAACACAAACAATGTAAACACATTAAAGCAGTTTGCATATGTACAAATGTTAATTCAATCAGTGATCAATGGGACAAGTTCGTGAACGGGACGGACGTAAGTGAACTCTTTTTCTCCTCTGAACAAACGGATCTCCACTTCTCGCACTCTTCCATCAGCTCCCGGGAAAGTTTGTTTGACCATGGCAGTCGGCCATGAGTTGCGTCCAGAATCGTACTCGCGTAACAGAACAATGTCACCTGTCTTTAGGTTAGGTTGGTCCGTCGCCCACTTTCTCCTGGTCTGAAGTCCCGTCAGGTACTCTTTCTGCCACTTTTTCCAGAACTCGTCTGCCATCACCTGGACCCTCTGCCACTGTGACTTGTATATATCTTTGATCCCAAACTGAGGAATGTCATCTGGTGGTGTTCCGATCTTTTGGGTCAAAAGGCTGGCTGGTGCTAATATGGACGGGTCATCAGGATCTGTGGATATTGCCGCAATTGGTCTCGAATTGATGACCGCACTGATTTCGGCCATGAGAGTTACAAGCACCTCATGAGTGAGATCTTTAATGTGCTTTTTGCTGAGCAGGATACCGTCCAGGATCCTCCGCGCCATTCCGATCATTCGCTCCCACACGCCTCCGAAATGGGAGGCATGTGTTGGGTTGAAGACCCAAACGCAGCCATTTTCTGCTAGGAAGTTCTTGATGGAGGTGTCTTCTGTCACAATGTTCTTCATGCCCAACTCTTTGACTCCACCGACAAAGTTGGTGCCACGATCTGATCTGAAGATCTTTACTGGTCCTCGAATGGCGATAAAGCGCCTCATTGCATTGATAAAGCTTGATGTGCTGAGTTCCTCTGAGATTTCAATGTGGACAGCCCTGCTGGTTAAACACGTGAAAAGTACAGCCCATCTTTTCTGCTTTACATGACTTCCTCTGGTTTTGCGTGCGGTTATGCTCCAAGGACGAATACATCTACTCCGACGTAGGTAAAGGGGGGTCCAGGACTTAAACGGTCTTCAGGAAGTTCGGCCATTTTAGGAGAGCAGAATGTACCACGCAATCTTTTGCAGATGACACATTTCCCCAGAAGACTGTTGATTAACCTCTTTGCTCCCACAATCCAGAATCCCATGCTGTGAAGTTTCCCTCCTGTGAGGCGTCGACCTTGATGAAAGACCTGTTCATGACAATATAGAGCTAACAATGTGGCTAAATGACTTCCTTTCGGTATCAATATAGGACAAGTTTCAATCTGACGAAGTGATTTGGTTCCACACCTCAACCTTCCTCCAACTCGTAGAAGTCCTCTGGAGTCTAAAAACGGTGACAATCCCAAGATAGCGTTTCCTTTCTTAATTTCTCTCCCCTCCATAAGGCTCTCAACTTCCTCCGGAAAGTATTCTCTCTGAACTGCCTTCATAATGAATTCTTCAGCTCTTTTGTATGCTTCAGCACTCTTCGGGACTGAACAATGGTGCCATCCCACACAGCTACTAGACTTGTTAAAGGAGTGAGCAAGGTGCTGCAGTCGCGCAATAGCTCTGACTAGTCCGATCCAAGAGGAGAAATTCTTAAATCTCTCGCACCAGGAGTGGTATACTTCATCCTTGCATGTGGTATGCAAGGTCTTCACAATGGGCCTCACTTCTTTATCTTGTTCCACATCCACCAATGGGAATCTGTCAGTGGGATTTCCTGGTTCACTGGGATTACACTTTTCCTCTTTCATGTTCCTAAGGAAATGGGGTCCACATAACCATCTGCTCTCTTGAAGGTCGCAGGGTTTGATTGACCTGGTGGCAATGTCGGCCGGGTTTTGATCTGTAGGACAATATTCCCACTCATGCGAAGATGTCGCCTGACGTATTCTTTCTACTCTATTTCCCACATATATGTAGAATCGTCTGCGTTCGTTGTTGATGTATCCAAGTACGACCTTGCTATCTGAATACAAGGTTGTGGCGGCTATTTCAACATCTAGGTTGTTCAAAATTGTGCTTTTCAGTTGAGATGCCAACACAGCTGCACACAATTCCAGACGTGGAATCGTGTGTCCATGTACGGGTGCCACCTTTGCCTTTGCCTGGACAAATCCTACATGAGGGGTGCCGTCTGTCTGGTAAGTCTTCATGTAGGCCACTGCACCAATTGCCTTTTGTGACGCATCGGCAAATATGTGTAGTTCTCTTCGCAAGACCTCTGCACTATTGATGTAAGCGTAAGCCCTTGGTATTGTTATGTCCTCTAACGCTGGCAATGACTCTCGCCACTCACACCATAGAGAGTACTGGTCCTCAGGGAGTGGGTCATCCCAGTCTAATTTCTCGGCCATCAAGTCGCGTAATATCTTTTTACCTTTCACTATAACAGGTGCGAGGAATCCAATAGGGTCGTAAAGGCTATTAATAGTTGCAAGTACTCCCCTTTTTGTATAAGGGTGAAGAGTACGCGAGACTTGAAATGTAAACACGTCTGTAGACAAATTCCAGCTCACACCAAGGGTCCGTTGAAGGGGTGTTTCATCTAAATCTAGGTTCAGATCCTTGAGTTCTTTGGCTAAGTCATTGTTTGGAAATGCCGCGCATACCTTCGGATCATTGGAAGCCAATTTATGCAACCTGATATTCCCTTCCTCCATAAGAATTTTCTGCGTTTTCGCGACTATGTTGACTGCTTCTTCAACTGTATCTACGGATATGAGGCTGTCATCAACGTAAAAGTTTTTACACACAAATTGTCTGACATCCTCATCGGCATTTCTTACAGTTCTGCGAAGTCCCAAAGTAGCTACTGCTGGGGACGCACTATTCCCAAAGACATGTCTCTTCATTCTGTACTCTGTAAGTTCTTTCTCTACATCGTCTTTGTGCCAAAAGAATCGTAAAAAGTTTCGGTGACATGCTGGAACTGAGAAGCGGTAAAACATCTGTTCTACGTCTGCTGTCACTGCTACCTGGAACTGTCGAAACCTTAACAAGATTCCAAGAAGGCTGTTTACCAAGTCTGGTCCGGTCAAGAGAACACTGTTGAGACTGAGTCCTTGAATCTGTGCAGATGAATCAAACACGCATCTGACGCTTCCTTCTTGGGATGATAAACTGCAAAAAGAGGCAAGTACCAATGTTCCTCCTCTGGGGAAGAAAGTGGTGGCGCAATCTCAGCGTGACCATTATCAAGGAGTTTGCTCATGAATTCCATGACATGCCGTTTTTTGTCAGGATCCTTCTGAAGTCCTCTAGTAAGTAGGTTTGCTCTGTGAAGTGCATGATTTCTATTGCTCGGAAGGAGCTGTCTGTTCTCTCTAAACGGAAGCGGTGCTGACCAACATCCTTCAGAATCTCTTTCAAAACCTTGCTCCATGATATCGTTGAACTTCTTATCCTCTATGGAGAGGCCAGGTGAGTCGTCATGCTTCGTCTTAGCGAATATGTCGGTTTTCTAAGTTGAAATGAATTTTTGCAAGTTTCCATGAGAGACATACGCCCATTTGTCCTAGTATATGTCTTACACACTGACAAAGATTCCTGAGAATGTGAAGCCCCGTAGCATACCTCACCGATCACTACCCACCCTAGGTGCAGTCTTTGAGCAAATGGGGAGTCGGAGTCTCCCAGTCTTTGGTCCAGAATGTGGTGGGCAGGCAGCAAATCTCTGCCAACCAGCAATGTTATCTCTGCGTCCTGATCTAAAGGGGGTATTTCCTCTTCTATGTCTCTCATGTGTCTGTAAGATCTCGCGACCTCTGGTGTTGGAATCTCGTCCCGGTTATTTGGGATATAGTTGCATTCCATCAATGGTGGAAGACGAAGATGAAGATTTTCCATCCAAAGATGAGATAACGAATCCTGCCGATCTCCGTCCAGTTTGAGTAGACTGCCCGGAACATGAGGTAAGTTCGTATTGGATGTCTGGACCATCCACACCAAAGAAGTTGAAGAAATCACTGTTTGCTAAAGACCGATTGCTCTGTTCGTCAATTATCGCATACGTTCGTAGCACCTTGTCTGGGTTATTTCCGTGGCGTATGTTGACCAAGAGAGTCTTAGCACAGGATTTGCTAGTTTTATGTACGTTTCCGCAAATTTGTGTACATACAGTCTTCACCTGGCTGTCGGTTTCAGTGTCACTTGCGCGTCTCCCAACATGCAGGGCAGTGGCATGTCCTGGCTCCTTGCAGATATTACACTTGATTGTTTTCTGACAGTCTTTGGCTAGATGTTTCTCTTCACAGCATTTAAAACAAATTCCCTTTGATCTAAGGAATTCTCTTCTCTCTTGAACGGTTTTCTTCTGGAAGGCACGACAAGAGTTCAATGAATGGCCAGTCTCATGTAAGGGGCACAGTTGTGTGTACTCTGTCTTGTCCATGGGCCTCGAAGCATTCGTGTCAGTTTTCCTTGTGGCGACAGATGAAGTACCTGTAGGGTACAGTGGTTTTCATCGATTTCCATCCTGAACAACTTTGGCGTTCTCGATTACATTGTCATAGTAAAAGGATGGGTCATTTTTCATTTGTGCTTTGTCACGGAGAAATTTGCAGAAAACATGGAAGGGTGGAAAAGTCATGTAGTGATTTTCCTTGAAGCTGTTTGCATGCCTGGTCCACTTCTCTTGGATTTGGTAAGTGAGTCTTGACACAATGGGGTTCACTCCACTTGATGAGTCAAAGTATGCGAAGCCAAGAGAGGTGTGGAATTTCCTTTGCTGCTTCTATTTCTGACACAATGTCTACGAGGTCGTATAACCGTTTGTTGTCTTTAATACTGAGTTTCGGGAAGGCTGAAAGTTTGTTTTTCAGTGCGGCATAAGTTTCTCATCATCTCAGGTCTACCATACCTGTCCTCCAAGCGTTCCCATAGTCGGGCTAAAGCAACATCAGGATTCACACTGGCGGTCCTTATGCTTTGTGCATATCTCGCTGATTCTGGTCCCAACCACTTATTGAATAGTTCTAATTCTTCCAAGGAATGGATGTTAAGTTCAGTTCACTCACAATGTTTTTAAAACTTGTTTTCCATCCTGTGAAGTATTCTGGGCGGTCGTCAAATTTTGTGAGTCGGCACCACAATAAATCTTTCTTCGCAAGGAACATAGACACTTCATTAATATGTCCATTGCTTGAGTCTTGTTTTGGAACAAATGCTGGCGTCATAGGAGACAGTGTAATGTTGTTTGGTACGACACTTTGTTCCTTTTTCTCTAATCCAGTCTTCAGCTCCGACTGCTGTTGTACGAACTCCTCGACTCGCTCTTGAGCAACCTGCTGAAGGTTTTGGTATTCTTTATCTGTAAAATTCTCATCTGATTCTTCATCTAAATAATCTAGACTGTTCATTTCAATCTGTGCCTCCTCCATCTCTCTCTTGCACTGTAGAATTTTAAGGTCATGGTCAAGTATGGCTTTTTGTTTCTCCATCTCAAATTCTTGTTGCAGATATTTTTCCCCACTTTTGCCGCTTCTAATTTGGCCCGGTGTCTGGCTAGCTCTGAAGCTATGGAGGAAGACCTTCTCCCTGAGGACATGGCTGTAGGTGGACTTATCTGGCTGATGTTTGTCGTTGATTTCTCCATTCAATCAATCACTAGCTCGGCTATGAATTTTTCACTGTGCAATGTTGAATGAGTTTATTGCATCCAAACCCCCGGAGAGGGTGAAAAACTACAAACAAACAATACAAAAATGTAAGCAATATGTTGATATAAAACATACATAATAAAAATATGACTAGAGCGGGTTTCCATAGTTTTGAATTTTTAACAGATTTCAAGGAGGAGCTGTTCTAACGAAATTATTTCCATAAGATAATAAACAGACATCAACATAGTTTATCCCTAGCATGTTTAAAGATGTATTAATAATGGAATAATCAATCAATTGTTGCAATCAAGTTTAACGATTAAAACAAAGACAGGTAAAAAACGCGCCAAGTGCGCCTTGACTCAATATGACAGTTAAAAAATTACACATGACTAGAAAATGAATATTATGCATTGCCTACACATAATAGTAAATGAAAAATCACAAAACTTACTTCATAGGTGACTTTAAATGCAGTAAAATAAGCTGGGTTCTGGAACCCACGAGGTTGGCACTGATGCCTTAGATCGTTTCCGGTATACAATAAAAGTAAGGTAAAAACCAACAAATCCGGAAAGAATAATTCCGGGACACTACACTCCCCCTCCTGATTTTACAAAAAATCACCCTAATGAATTAATTCAAAACAAACTTACAATAAAAGTAAGGGGGTGCGTCGATTTACCCAAAAGGACCCAAAAGGAACCCAAAAGGACCCAAAAGGACCCAAAAGGAACCCAAAAGGACCCAAAAGGAACCCAAAAGGACCCAAAAGGACTTTAATTAATATATCATAATACATTGAAAATTAATAATTTGAAGTAAATTACATGAATATTATATTTTACATTTACATAAAAGTTGGCAAAAACATACTTATATTGTTGCAACTGTAACAATAACATTAACTTTTATAGCACATCAAAAACTAAATCTGGTCAGGTATGCTTTGATTTCTTTAAGGTGAAATTAACAAAGTATTAATCTACTTCTACCTGTTTTACCATATCTTACTATATGATATTTAATAAATGAAAAAAGTTTTATTTTATAACATGCTCTAAGCATATGGTATGGGGATGGATGGGGGGTGGGGGGTGGGGTGGTGGGGAACCTTCCACCCCCACCCCAAACACACACTTTACCCTCAAAAACTAGTTTTAGATTTAATAAAATATGAAAATGTTTGTATATCCATTTATTATCTTTTATTTCAAGTCCTTTTGGGTTGTTCTTAATTTCCTTTTGGGTTCCTTTTGGGTCCTTTTGGGTTCCTTTTGGGTCCTTTTGGGTTCTTTTGGGTCCTTTTGGGTCCTTTTGGGTAAATCGACGCACCGAAAGTAAGGTAAAAACCAACAAATCCGGAAAGAATAATTCCGGGACACTACATAATGTGTGTGTAATGCAACATTTGTTTTTCCCTATTAAGATGATTTTGAATAAACGTGTAATTTTTTTTCATATCAAATATGTTCCTTATTGAGATGTGTTTTCCAAAAACTACTATTTGTTTGATTTTCAGTGACATAAAACGATATTTGAATTAATTAGTAATACAACACCGGTATACTTGCAAGTTGTGTCAGCTTGGGTAATAACAATTTTTTAACTTTACATGCTTATTAAGTCAATCTGCTAATTCTAGTAAAAACATCTAATAATTGGCAGCTTAATTAAAATGTTCATCACTCATCAAGAAGGTTAATTACTGGTGTCAAAGTTCTCTTTTGAATCCCTTTATGCGTAACTATGAGTATGACCAGCTTGATTTAGAAATTCTTTTTTTTTTAAAAAAAACAAATATATTTACTTGACTGTATTAAAGATAAAACAAAAAGATCTAAGATACATCTCATGCATTTATATAAAGACATGTACTACCAAACTTTGTAAAAATATATTCATGATATTTAAAAAAAAAGAATAAAAACATTCCATTTTCCTTGAACATCAAACAAAATAAAATTAATGAATAAAACTTTATGTAATATAAAGTAATCATAAGTAGTAACGATAACTTGAAGGAAAAGTAATCAGATGTACATGTACTTGATAACTTTAAAAAATGTCTGTAATCAGCTTGGTATTGATAACTTTTAAAATCCAAAGTAATTGTAATTTAATCGATTACTTTTTGAAGTATAAAAACCATCCCTGATGTAGATTCAAGTATGCACAAATCATGACCCCCCGGGGTAGGGTGGCTACATTGGGCGATCAAATTTTTACATCGGATTGTACAGGAAAAATCTCATGAACATGAAAGCCATGGTTGGTCATATTTACATGTTTATGGAAGCATCCTCAGGTTGCTTAGATTCTAATTTGTTTGAAACCTGACCCTTCCCTGGGGATGGGTTGGCGTTACGTCAGGACTTATGTGGGAAAAGTTTCTAAGGTATTCAATCTGTAATAGGAACAAATTCAATATAATTGAATACATAACAGAAATCTAAGCATTGGAACATAGTTTAATTAGACATTATTCCCATTTAATACTATTAGTTGGGTCCGACCAACCCAACCTGACACAAAGCGGTCCCAAGAAGCAGTCCCGGGGACTGCTTTCTGGGACTGCTAAAGCAGTCCCGCAGCGGTCCCAGAGCAGTCCCACAGCAGTCCCAGAGCGGCCCCAGAAAGCAGTCCCAGCAGTCCCCAAAGCAGTCCCAGTGGGCGGGGTTTATTAATTAAATGGGCGGGGCTAACTCAGAAATGAGATTTCCAATACACAATGGAACTATAAAAGGCAGCTTAATTTTTGTTGAGCAGTATGCCAGGTATCCTTACAATGCGAAGGTCGTTTACATGTAGGAGCAGTACCCGCATAGATTTGAATCAATTTGAAATAATATTTATTGAAGGAAGAAAGCTTACACACCTACATAAATGAATTACACTGAACATGAATATTTAATCACAATTATCTTGGGGTTTTTTTGTGATTGATACAGGCTCCTATATTTATTTTCTATACAGAAAATTAAAATTGAATTAAGTTAATATATTTCACCAGAATTAGTTTTAAATAGATCTAATCATAATCAGATCATGGCCGATTTCATTACTATCGGGATACTCTAAAGGCATTTTTTTTAAAGTATTAGGGCTTTTGAAAAATTCGTTGCTAATTTTGCCAAGTAA